TTTACCTGTAAAATAATCTGAAGCTGGCAACTGTTTAACCAGATAAAGTGCTACACAGTGAATACCATGACAGGTGTGATAGAAAAAGATTTTGATCCTTATGAGATGAAGGACTGTTTAGAGGATGCGTTAGCACTGCTGACAGGATACTTACATCCATATGGCAAACAGGTGGAGAGCATGAACCCAAAAGAGTTATTGGACAATCTGATGGAGGTTGCAGAGAGTGTGACCTCTACAGAAATTACAATGTCAAGCTATGAAAAGCTGGCTAAAATGGCAATGTTGCTGAAAGAATCATACTTTGCATTAAGACGGGATCACGTTGTGACAGTGTCACAAGTTTCCCGCTGCAAAACTGAGATAGATGTGCTTTAAAAAGATCTGGACAAACACAGAGTGGAGAGAGAGATATTACTCTAACAATATATGCGTTTACTAAGTGAATGTCAAACATCACAGGAACGCCTGAAAGCTTGTGAGGAGAAACTGGCCGCGGCAACATATAAAAGTAATGACGAGGGGCGAGGTTGTCTGGAACCCAGAGAAGACCGTGAACAGAGTCCGGGTCATCCACCAACACCTCCAAAATCTATTACACACCTTTTGCTTTTAAGCCCATTCTGCCTCCTCCTAAAACAGGTGAGAAAAAGCAGTATTTTCAAACTAACAAACCACATAATGAAGGTGCACGCTGGGACAGAAAAGCTCCTCTTTCAGAGGATGAACGTGATTATCGTAAATGGGATTTGCGTAGGACGCAAAGATATGGGATCCAAGAGGACCCATATTATCAGGGGAAGTCCGAAGAGGAACCCCCAAAAGACGTACCTAACCCTCCCCCACCTCGGACGAAACGAACCGAGGCGATAAAATCACAAAGGTCCTAGGAACAAGGCCCTACACCTCTGAGCTCGGAAGAGACAGAGAAACTACAAAGGTTTTTAGAAACTTTGAAAAACGCTGAAATGGGAAACCAACCTGAAGCACAATGTAGTGATGTGATCACTACTAAATCTGAAGGCGCGAATGACAACATTACAGATGTCAGTGAAACACACCAAGACGTTGCTGTTGTTGCCTCCAACAACCCCTCATCGGATGAAGGGGGGCTAAACTCACACACAAACGATGATGAGTCATCGCAGGCTGAACACTCAGAACCTGATTTTCATGATTTTGAACTAGGCATTCCAGTTCTGGGAGGACTCCCAGATAATCTGGTACCGAGTCAAGAAACTGGGCCAGTATGGTTCACAAAACCAACACAGGCCATAGCTCTTTCCTCAAACAATGACGTCGACCAAGGACCTCAAACCTATGGTGTCTTACCCATAGACAGGTCCGACGACTCAGAAAAGGATTCGTTGGAGCTCCCCAAGGAGCAAGAACCCTCATCAGTCTCATCACAGATTGAACAGGTAGTCGCTCAAGCCGACACTCTGACATCTGATGAAGAAAGAGACAAACTTTGCCAAGTTCTTTTAAAATATGAAAAATCATTGTCACCTGACCCAGACATCATCCAACTTCAGAAGTTGAATGATCCTGCAATTAACTCGATGATACTGCATCTGACTGACCCAGACAAATACACTCCATCGAAAAGCGAACTGGATTCCAATCCAGCCCCTTAAGTCCTCTTTCAGCTGCGCAAACAGTTAAAACTACTCAAGGACAACCTAACTTTAGCTCATGGAGCGACGTCCTCACCCGTGTTCGCGGTCTCCCATGACCGAAGGGGGGTGACGCCAGTTAGGATAATGCTACCAGACGCGATAACGCGAGCAAATCTGACATCCAGAGTGAGTGACGCACCGAAACGTCGTTTTCTAGTTGCTTAATCACTGCTTTTGTCAATGTTGAAACGTTGTTTTACTGGTTGCTTAGTCACTGTTTTTGTCGATGTTGAGACATCGTTTAACTGGTTTTTGGTATTGTTTCTGAACACCCCAAGCAAGAATGAATTTTGTGTGTAGTTAAGTTAGAGACTAAGAGGCCTTTAACCATGCCAACATGCAGTTCATTCGTTAAATTGCAATCTTTGCGGAGTCAATGTATATTATTGCTACCTTAAGTACCATAATCTACATTGATCTCACAACGCGTAAGCCGAACCTACTCGAACAATTCTATTCGGGGGGATAGCTAATTCTTTTTGATGAGTCTCGCCATAGACTTCCAAAAACATTTATGGGGAAACCAAACACCCAATCTCAAGTCGTTCGTCTAAAAGACAACAGACAATTGAACCAAACTATATTTTGCCATGTAAAGCTAACTTAAACCAAGTTAGAAATGGAAAAATAGTTTG